GGAAAACACTGAATGACTTTGGCACAAAAATGTTGAATTATTTCAAGCCGTGACCAATCCTTCACACTTAATGAAAACCACAATTCCGAGCCAAATAAACAGCACGGAAGTGTTACAGAGCGAAACAGCTTCAGACCGATGAGAGGGTTTAATGACTTCCCTATTAACCCTGCATTTAAAAACGAGAAGCAGGAACTTCTAAACTTGTGAAGTACGTTTTCAATATCTGGACGACCAAATTTAAATTTGTCTAGAAATATTCCAACATGTGTGGTATGTTCAGACTCATTCACAGTTTCAACACCCAAACGCCAGTTACGTGAGGATCTGGCATAACATGTTTTAGATTCATTAAAAACTACAATACATGTTTTTGAGGCGTTGTTTACAACTATATCTGTGACATATATTCATCAAAACATCTAGATTACACTTGGTATAAGACAAAAGTACAATATCGTCACCCTGTGTCGGACAAGTAGCGTTAACATCTTCTATCATTAGGGATGCTTTTGAATTGCATAATTCTTCCAATAGATCATTGATATATAAGGTATACAACCATGGTGATAATATACTACCCTGCCTAGTACCTTGCTCTATAAGGAACCAATTAGAGACAAAACCTTTATATACAACCGCACTTTGCATACCAGGATACATTAAAGCTAAGATTTTGATAAACTTTATATCAAAACCCAAATCATACATTTTTATATACAATCCATAGTGCCAAACACAATCGAATGCTTTAGCGGCATCAAGAAAACATGTAAATAATTTATTACTTTGCTCGTCAGCGTATGTGATCGCTTCATGTATCAAGAAAGAAGTCATTGTGCTGCTAACATGAGGCTGAAAGACATTCTGTAGCGGACTTACAATACAAAGGTAAGCGGACTCAAGTCTCATAAGAAAAAGTTTCTCAAAAACCTTTAGAGTGACAGGCAATAGTGATATCGCTCGGTAGCTGTTTGGGTCATTCTTAGGCTTATTGTTGCCCTTATACAGCGTACTTATAATGCCTTTTTTCAAACATAAAAGAAAGAACTCCCGAGATGCGATAGCATTAAATAACCTTGTCAGGCAATGATAGAGACATTCACCTCCATATATGAAGTGTTCATAAACTAATGTGTCATGACCTGGTGCTTTGCCTAAAGGTAATTTCTTACAAACCGCATAGACTTCAAATATTGTAAAATCACTACAATTCGATGATACAGAGGGCTGATCAAGAATATCTTTCATTTTAGAATCAACAGTTACTTTAAATTCGTTATCATAATCTGTGTTTTCAGATTGTTTATACAAAAATGAAAAATATCTACCCCAATGAACTGCAAGTTGTTGGGGATTACGAACTGTTTCGTCTTCAAAAACTACTTCTGCACTAGCTGTTCCATTGTTACGTTGACAAAGATGTTTTACAAGCTTCCAAAAGGTCTGCTGATCTACCTCAGCTGCTTCTGCAATGTCATCATTGAGTTTCTGTAAATGCTCCTCTGACAGTCGACGGTTAACTCTACGAAAATCGCGCTTTGCCTCTTTATACAAACGAAAAGACTCGGCATTGGGGCCCCGTGGTCGGCCAAGCCTAACCCAACTGCAGCGAAGATTCCACATTCGTTTATGGAGATCCTTGAGATGACCTTTCCAATACGGCTTAAGAAAGGAGCGAAGTTTCTTTTGAGGCAGAGAAGTAAAAGAGGCTTCTTTAATCAATTCAACAAGATCAGATGTAAAGGTTTCAATTTCACCACAAGTCGAAATTTCACGTTCAAGTAAATCAGAGTCACGCAATAGACGTTCAGCATTTCTACGATATACGTCAACGTTACTATTGTCGCCAGAGGTGATCTACTTGAAAGATGTTCTTTCAAAAACCTTTGCAGAACTGTGAACGTTCTATAGAAATTGATCAGGTATATGTATTTCACAGAATATGGCTCAGTGGTTAGACACGTCAATGAAGGTGTCGTCTGAAGTTTTACAGTCACTGACCAGGTCAGTCTTTCCAGAGTCTATAATGATATATTCCACTAAGGAGCAGGCTCCATCGTCACCATGCACAGACGAATTTACGGGACCGTGACAGGAAGAGAGTGTGTTTACGGCGGTTAACTGGTTCAACTCCAGGAAACGTTGCAGTACGATGCCCTGAGGATTGAGGCCGGTGCTGATGCGAGGACAATTCAGGTGAGCGTTGAAATCACCAAAAACAATAACGTTCCACTTGTAGAGAATTTCGTGTACAATTCATCGAGCTTGTCTACATATGAGCGGAACAGGTCAATTCCATACCGCAATCAGTTATTGGTGTGTAACCCCGGGTGTGCAATCTGTCGTTGGTGTGTAACCCCGGTTATTGGTGTGAGACCCCGGGTGTGCAATCAGTTGTTGGTGTGTAACCCCGTGTGCATAATCAGTTTTTGGTGTGTAACCCCGGGTGTGTAATCAGTTGTTGGTGTGTAACCCCAGTTATTGGTGTGAGACCCCGGGTGTGCAATCAGGTGTTGGTGTGTAACCCCGTGTGCATAATCAGTTTTTGGTGTGTAACCCCGGGTGTGCAATCTGTCGTTGGTGTGTAACCCCGGTTATTGGTGTGAAACCCCGGGTGTGAAATCAGTTGTTGGTATGTTACCTAGTCAGTGCAATCAGTTATTGGTGTGAATCCCCGGGTGTGCAATCAGTTGTTGGTGTGTAACCCCGTGTGCATAATCTGTTTTTCGTGTGAAACCCCGGGTGTGCAATCAGTTGTTGGTGTGTAACCCCGTGTGCATAATCAGTTTTTGGTGTGTAACCCCAGTTATTGGTGTGAAACCCCGTGTGCATAATCTGTTTTTCGTGTGTAACCCCGGGTGTGCAATCAGTTGTTGGTGAGTAACCCCAGTTATTGGTTGTGGTGTGTTGGTGTGTAACACGGTGTGCATAATCTGTTTTTCGTGTGTAACCCCGGGTGTGCAATCAGGTGTTGGTGTGTAACCCCGTGTGCATAATCAGTTATCGGTGTGTAACCCCGGGTGTACAATCAGTTGTTGGTGTCTTCCCCAGTCAGCGCAATCAGTTGTTGGTGTGTTACCCAGTCAGTGCAATTAGTTGTTGGTGTGTAACCCCGTGAGTGCAATCAGTTGTTGGTGTGTAACCCCAGTTATTGGTGTGAAACCCCGGGTGTGCAATCAGTTGTTGGTGTCTTCCCCAGTCAGCGCAATCAGTTGTTGGTGTGTTACCCAGTCAGTGCAATCAGTTGTTGGTGTGTAACCCCGTGAGTGCAATCAGTTGTTTGTGTGTAACCCCAGTTATTGGGGTGAAACCCCGGGTGTGCAATCAGTTGTTGGTGTGTTACCCAGTCAGTGCGATTAGTTGTTGGTGTGTAACCCCGTGAGTGCAATCAGTTGTTGGTATGAAACCGTGTGTGTGCAATCAGTTGTTGGTGTGTAACCCCGTGTGCATAATCAGTTATTGGTGTGTAACCCAGTCAGTGCAATAAGTTGTTGGTGTGTAACCCCGTGAGTGCAATCAGTTGTTGGTATGAAACCTTGTGTGTGCAATCAGTTGTTGGTGTGTAACCCCAGTTATTGGTGTGAAACCCCGGGTGTGCAATCAGTTGTTGGTGTGTAACCCCAGTTGTTGGTGTGTAACCCCGGGTGTGCAATCAGTTGTTGGTGTCTTACCCAGTCAGCGCAATCAGTTGTTGGTGTGTTACCCAGTCAGTGCAATCAGTTGTTGGTGTGTAACCCCGTGAGTGCAATCAGTTGTTTGTGTGTAACCCCAGTTATTGGTGTGAAACCCCGGGTGTGCAATCAGTTGTTGGTGTGTAACCCCGTGTGCATAATCAGTTATTGGTGTGAAACCCCGGGTGTGCAATCAGTTGTTGATGTGTAACCTCAGTTATTGGTGTGAAACCCCGGGTGTGTAATCAGTTGTTGGTGTGTTACCTAGTCAGTGCAATCAGTTATTGGTGTGAAACCCCGGGTGTGCAATCAGTTGTTGGTGTGTTACCTAGTCAGTGCAATCAGTTGTTGGTGTGTAACCCCGTGAGTGCAATCAGTTATTGGTGTGTAACCCCGGGTGTGCAATCAGTTGTTGGTGTGTTACCCAGTCAGTGCAATCAGTTGTTGGTGTGTAACCCCGGGTGTACAATCAGTTGTTGGTGCGTACATATGTAACCCCTTGTGTGCAATCAGTTGTTGGTGCGTAACCCCGTGTGCACAATCAGTTGACGGGCCGTATCCTACAAAGTCAGAATACTTTGTATAGTCCCCGTGTAGTCCTTTCTATATTATACCGGTGCTGTTTCATCTATAGTTTACCTGTGTAGTTCTATCTATAGTATACCCGTGTTGTTTTATCTATGTCCTTCAGATTAAGTCTGCAAACTACAGCTGCTGAAAATTATTAAGCTGACAATGTTTGGATTCTGGAATGTATTGCAATCAGATAATTATTGAGCTAACAGTGGTTGTATAGGATTTTTCTTTTTTTTAATCGGTAAGCCAACAATGAATCCTGGAGTGTATCAACACTCGGCGACATAATTTATTAGCATGTGTTCCGTTTTCACCTGAGCTAGTAACCATTCCCCAACAATTAAACCTCCCTTGAACCCCGCTATGTACCAGCACACTGGTCTCCGCGAAGTGTCTCTAATCTATAACGGGAGAGCGCTAGGCTGGCGGGACATGTGTACCGTGGCCACTTCACCCCACCTGTTAACTATATCAGCTGCAGGTAACAAGACTTTATATAGAAGTTTTCGATTATTTATATTGGGTTAGAAATATGAAAAGCATTCTCCAAAAGTTTATGTGCACCAAGTCGCACGCATTACTATAACTTGTTGAATGCACAAAATTCTACACATTATACTTTTGCCGGAAAAGTAGCCACAAAATGTTACTTACAAATGCGCAGTACGGCTAAAGGCCCTCTGCTATCGCCGAGAGCCCAATCGTACGATCCTCGTTTGCGCATGCGTTAAGAACCAGCTGGAGTGGTAAACGTATGCCGGCGGCCTTGTGTGTGTCGCAGAATTGTCAAGATATGGCATGTCCGTTGGCCGAAGTTTACCTCATGAACTATCGTCCATCTTGTTGGTAAGGTTTTGTACTTTACAGTTGTATATCATTTGTAAGATTTTGTTTTTTGTCTGTCATTTAATTTTTGTAAATGTCTGAAGGCGTGATCAATGTCCTGTTTTTAATACTTGTGTGTTCATAAATGGGGGTAAAATAGAGGTGGTGTGTCCTCCTGTTTCACAGAAATTGTCTCCTCTAAGGGTTGTCACATATCTAACTAGTGAATCCAGACATTTTCTGAGATTATTAAAGAAAGAATTAAAAATCTTAAGCTTAAAGGAGGCTGACTGTCTTGCAAACGAAATCAAAAGTGGAAATCCCAATGTCTTGAGTCCGTGATCATGGTCATAGCATAAGGAAATTATAACCCCTAATGTCGCATTACCCCAATACGGGACACTTTTTAGTGAAATAATCCTGAATATTCATAACCATGAATAATCATTGAAGGTCCTTCTCCGTTTGAACCGATGAAGAATTTTTACCAAAAGAGCATCTTTGGGCAAAGGGAATTTACTATCTATCAATGGAGGATGTGCCTCCCCAGGGGCAGAAGAGCGGGGCCCAATAGGGGAAATAGGGAAAAATATTTTCCCTTCCTTAAAAATTAAGGGATTTAAACCAAATGTGGTCTGAAGCATACTTGGGGGAAAAAAAACACAATTTTGTTAATTTGCATAAAAAGGTGCATGTGAGGCCCAATAGGGTAAATAGAGGAAAATTGAAAATATTTCTCCTTTTTTAGCTCGGTTTGTTCAAATGAATGACCTTCACTCATATTCAAGGTCACAGTGGTCTAATATGTGAAAAATCTTTAAACAACTTCTGAATAATCAAAAGGTCTAGGGTGATGATATTTGGCCAGTAGAATACTGGGATAAAGGGCTTCCTATTTTGTTCAAAAGAATGACCTTGACTTATATTCAAGGCCACAGGGGTCAAATATGTTAAAAACCTTTAAAAAGCTTCTTTTGAATAACTAAGAGGCATAGGGTTACGATATTTGGCCAGTAGCATGCTGTTATTAAGGGCTACCAAGTTTGTTCAAATGAATGACCTTCGTCCATTTTCAAGGTCACAGGGGTCAACTGTCTTAACAAATCTTTAAACAACTTCTGAATAACTAAGATGCCTAGGATAATGATATTTGGCCAGTAATATGCCAGGATGAAGGGCTACCAATGTTGTGAAAATGAATGACCTTCGCCCATATTCAAGGTCACAGGGGCGGATGATATTTGGTCATTAACAGGCTGGGATGAAGGGCTACCAATGTTGTGAAAATGAATGACCTTCGCCCATATACAAGGGCACAGTGGTCAATATATGTTTAAATCTTTAAATGACTTGTTCTGTATAACCAATAGGTCCAGGGTTATGATATTTTGCCAAAAGCATGCTGGGTTGGAAGACTTTAAACTCTGTTCAAACTAATGTCCTTGTTCGACATTCAAGGTCACAGGCGTCATATGTTTAAATCTTTTAATAGGCCCTTATGAATCAAACACTGATATTCTTCCTGTAGCTGCATTTTAGTCCACTTTTAAGATTACAAGTGTGAGATTAATACCAGGTGAGCGATTCAGGCCCATTGGGCCTCTTGTTGTTTCTCAAAAATCGGAATTAAGACATTGAAGAATATCCTGGCTGCGTCTGATGTAAACACACACACGTGCCTCGTAATCGCCACGCATCACTTCCTTGGATTTATCTACTCTAATCCAATTAAAACAACCCTTTTCCCGTCCTTGACTTACCCCCATTGTCCTCCACAGAGCACCCTCGGAACAAGACCATGTAGCCATAATTGGATAATTGAATAATTGCCGATATCGTGCTGTGTCGTTGTGCTGACAAATTCACCATTTTGACAAAAGAGTTCCAATACCTGATCTTGTCATTGAAATGTACTAGGATGCCACGGCCGACTGGACAGCGATGTCGGGGGCTGAACGATTAACCTGTAGCGATTGGCCAAGAACCAGTCATTGCCAAAGTTTTTTCTTGCTGTCTGCAGTAACTTTAATAAAAGCCCTTCATCGGCCTTTCGCCAACAGCAGACTCAAATCGTCGATCATGTTTTACTTTCGCAAATGGTGCCGAGGCACAGTGTACGTGGCAACTGCCGTGATATATTTTCGGATATTATACACATGCAAACCATAACAAATTTACATGTAACATGGCAGTGGGCTCGCGTCTAGCACAGGTAAATAATACATTGTATATATATATATATCATTGAAAAGACGTAATGATTAAGAGCAAATTGAGTATATCCAATGAAATCTACTCCCTAGTGATTGTTCATGTTATTAAAATAACGACCAACATAGAGAAGATTTTAAAATGGTCACCACAAGTTGATAAGTAATGGTTGTCATTGAAGCGTCGAACATAAATACTTACTGGTTGTGATACATACTCTATCTCCTGCTCATTATAACTTACCAAATTGAAGAGAATGTTAATGCACTTCCGTAAGCCTACAAGTAATCAAGCAGTTGGCCACTTTGCATTTTTATGCGACTGACACGTCCTTCAGCCTTCCTTACAGAAGGTTTATATTGCTGAACATATTGAAAATATACATTAAGCATTTCCTACACCCAAAACTTACCTGGTAATCGGCCACCCAGTTTTATTTCTGCACTATTTTACTGTATACTGGGATTTTTTTCTTGCAGTTTAATTTTCGCCTTCGCCCTCTGTAATGAGGGCGCATTTATCATATCAGCGAACAGTAGTAAAGAACATTCTATTTATATTTATCACATATAAAGGCGGGAAATGAAAACTGGGCAAATATGAATTTTACCGACAAAGGGCGAAAGATTGACATGGCAAACATTTCCTGGTATACAGTATTTAGTGTACTTGTCACCTGGCTAGCGGAGTTCGGGGTACAAAAAGTATGTCACCGGTGTACAAAATGTATGTCACTGGTGTACAAAAAGTATGTCACTGGTGTACAAAAAGTATGTCACTGGTGTTCAAAAAGTATGCCACTGGTGTACAAAAAGTATGTCAATGGAGTACAAAAAGTATGTCACTGTGACCTATATCCTGAGATAGGTGTACAGCTTGGTAAGTAAAGAACGGGTGCAGTATGAATTGCCATACAATATTTGCCATGTTATACCCTTGTCCTGAATCCTCGTCATGGATGGGTGGTTTTCTGGATGCGTGAACAGATTTAGAAACACCTAGATATTAGCTATTTAGAAGACACTCATTACTTGACACACATAAGTATATTGCCTGAACGAGATTTACTCCTGTACTAATGTGAAAACCCTGCGGGCAAACAAACTCTCAATTCCCCTGGAACAGGAAGTGGAAATTGTGATTTATCCCCCATAACCCCACACCTCCGTAAGTGACCAACTGTACCTGTACATATATGATTGCTCCCTTTGACCAGGGATGTAGGCAATCACTCATTATACCACTTTTTATAACATCTGTTGTGGATAAGTATTTACAGCTGTACATGTCAAACCACAATAAACTTGTGCCTTGATTCACCGCTTGACCAAGGGACAGACACAGGAAGGAAGCTTTGATATTAAAACGATGTATTTACATCTTTATTAATAATACATATACTGTATAATGTCTGATCAGCGACGCCATTGTTAGTTAACGATAATGGTTCATCAAACGTCACGGATGAATGCCGACAGTAGGTTATACTGCTGGTAATCATCCGTGATTTTCAATCAGCGATTGATAGGCCAGAACAAGCTTGCATATAGTCAGCCTTAAAGCCGATCAATTTGATTTGACCGCTAAAGCTGATTCAGCCAAAAAAGACAAAAGCATTATGGATGATAACCAGCCGCGAGCCAGACACTGTTCAACACAGGACACACGCTGACTGAACGGAAGGCAAACTATTGGATACTAGGCCATACGTATAACTGTGCTCTCCTTGAACTAAGCCTATAATGAAATTCTGACATACTTTTGTCTATTTTCCAGCATCACCCTTGCTTTCATCATTTAAACCAAATCAAAGATGGCTACCAATTACCAGTCTTCCAAGGAAACCACAAATTTTGCACGGATTTGCAGGTTGGTCACCGATGTCATCCCGGACTTATTGCGTGATTTGCTCAACACTCGGTTGCCAGCATCAGGACTATCTACAGTACTTACCACCCAGAAAATGAAGATCGTTTCTGTGTTGATGCGACATCAAAAGAACATTCTGTATCCTCAAGGTGGGGTGTATCAAGGTTCTGTGAAGGATTTGGACACATCGCTTCTGTACATCCTTCTAAGAAACCTTGGAAATATTCCACCTCATCAGAAAGGTTGGGGAAACGCACCGGGTATAGAAGACAGATCGCTGTCGGCCAACATCGACCGTCTACGTGAGCAGCGCAATGAGACGATTGCACATGCACCCAATACCTACCTTTCTGATGGAGATTTTCAGGCTAGTTGGGACATCATCCGCCAAAGTGTGGAGGAAATACAAAATAGTGAACTAAATACAGGGCGGTTTGTAGTGGCCGTGGATGCTTTGTATACCATGGAGATGGACCACAGAATGACAAATAAATACATCGAGGAACTTCTATTGGATATAAAAGGTAGGTTAGATGTTGGATTGTCAGATTATTTAAGTCATATACATCAGATGACGACTTGTACAAATTGCTCTTTGTCCATGGTCCCATGGCTGTCCTAATATAATTCTTAGTATTGCTATTTCCTAAGAATTACTGGAAGAATCTTTCTCAAATATCATTGTAAATTTCCCCGTAGTCCTTGACATTTTTGTTTCATTGCATTTTAAGACTGATTAAAAACACCAAGATGGCTGCCTGGCATTTCTGAAGATTTACTGAACAGATCTTTCTCAAATTTCATACGTAGATTACCTTTGGTCCATAATTGAGATTAGAACTAACAAGATGACAGCTGCCAGGCAGACATCTTGGATTGTATGAGTTCTCTTTTGTGACACTATTTTTCAAGGAGTTAACAATGGCTGATATAATCATATGTATCGAGCTAAATAAATACCAAAAGCAAACAGTATGATCGTTGGTCTACATATATATTGTACTTGTACAGTGTATGTATTAGAAAAACTAAACGTGACATCTACTTAACTTTGGTCCTGGGTTCTTTCCTCCAAATGTTTGTCAAGGCCATAACTTCTGTCCTTCTGAAGATAACTCAGTGATTTTTTAAGGATATGTGGGATGGTAAGGCCTAAACAAAATATACCTGTTTCCCATGTTCCCACCGACCCTATTTTTTCATAAGAAATACAAAAGAGAACATAACACTGGTGACCATCAGTGGAGTTTGGATTACTAAAAACGAGTCCAGCTGTAGGGATAATTTAGAAATGTAACATTGGTGGTAGCAGTAGCACTACTGTAAATTACGGTTATAGTTATTCCATAATCATTTATATAAATTAGATGGTTCAAATAATAATTTACTTCAATGTGTCGTTTGAGCCTGCTCAACACAAAAACTGTGAATGCATTTGTGTATTTATTTTACAAGAAACAAAAATTATATATTTGGTGCCTTTCATACTTTATTAAGGCAATAATGTGAGCTTATGCTGTACTGCGGCGTCCGTCGTCCATCCGTCACCTTTTTCTTTTGAACGACTTCTTCTGAAGAACTGGAGGACCTAGGGTCATGATATTTGGCCAGTAGGTACCTGGGATTGAGTGCTATAAAGTGTCCTCATTGAAATGACCTTGACCTACTTTCAAGGTCACCTGGGTCAAATATGTTAAACATTTCAAACAACAATATCCTAAGAACCGTTTGGACTAGAGGTATGATACTTGGGTATGTTATGTAGACCAGCTGTGTGAATTATTTTCTTTATTACAGTAATGAGGTCAAAGGTCAACTTTAAGTGCAAGTCAGGAGTCAAAGGTCAATGTGGGTTAAAATTAAAAGCTTTGAAATTAAAATTCCAAATTTCAGACAAAAACATCTTCAGAACTGTTTAAGAGATGTAAACAGGTCTTGTTTTCTAGTTACCAAATTTTGTCTTGCGTTATCTATATGTCAGTTTCATGTAACAAAAGAAAAAGGTGAACGATACAGGCCCTCTGGGCCTCTTGTTTAAACTTCACAGAGGTAATCTGAAAAAATAAAATAAAATGTTTTTTTTTACCTACCTACCTTTTTTTGAGCCGAAACACTCACTCGAAACACATATTTTTATTTGGCCTAAGGCAAAGTGTTGGGTACCACTATTGGGTCTGTATGCCCAAGGTCAAGGTCACATTGAGGTCAAATTTAAGTTAATTGTGTGGGGTGTTACTTCTAAGTTGCTGTGGTTAACTCAAGGAAATGTTAAGGCACAAGTATGATGGCAAGGCAGTGGCCATGGGTGGCAAACCACAACTTTGTCCAAACACACAAGGTCAAGTTCACATTAAATCTTGCCCATTCACACCAGGTCAAGATCGCATTAATTCTTGTCCATACACATAAGGTCAAGTTTACATTTAATCTTAACCATACACATAAGGTCAAGGTTACATTAAATCTTAACTATACACATAAGGTCAAGGTCAAATTAAATCTTGTCCATACACACAAGGTCAAGGTTACATTAAATCTTGTCCATACACACAAGGCCAGGGTCACATTATATTTAAATCTATAAACATAGCCTAAATTTAGATATTGAGATACATTATCAACCTATTATACATACTATACAATATTTACTAGATACAGTGTATATGCTAGTAAATAGGAAACAACAAACCTCAATTTCAAAGGACAATGTCAAACTATGTTAAAAAAAAGAACCACAAGATGTATTGAGTGTTGACATGACCATTAAATTATTGTTAAAGTGACTAAAGATCTTACCATGCTTGGTGCTAAAATCACTCTGGGATCATATATGTAAAAGTTTCTTATGTAAATCTATTCACTGACCTGCATAGAAATTATATGCTTTGCCTTGTATATTTTCAGATGATGTCAGCAAAGTCAAGGAGGATATCCATGACACGAAGGAGGATGTCGGTGCCATGAAGTTGGATGTCGGCGCCATGAAGTTGGATGTCGGTACAGTTAGGGCCGATGTTAGGTCAATGAAGGACAAACTGAACACCCTGTCGACAGGCACAAATCCCAAAAAAGGTATGGAAGTTAGTCCGGTCATATCAGCATTTATAACCTGGACACTTTTGTAATAGAATTTAGTTTTTAGCTCACCTGGTCCGACGGACCGTGGTGAGCTTATGCCATACCGCAGCGTCTGTCGTCCGTCGTCCGTCCGTCCGTCAACTTTTCCTTTAAAACGCTACTAGTCATGAACGACTGAGCAGAGTTTGACCAAATTTGGTCAAAAGCATCCTTGGGGGTAGGGGAACACATTTTGTATAAATGATGGGTCTGGGCTCCCTGGGGGCTGAGGGGTGGGGCCCAATAGGGGAAATAAAGCAAATTCTTTAAAATCCTTCTTCTTCTGTAGGAAAGGATTTGGTCCATATTTGGTCTGAATCATTCTTGGGTAAGGGGAAACCAATTTTGTATAAACCATGGGTGTGGCCCCCCAGGGGCCTTAGGGGCGGGGCCAAATAGGGGAAACATAACCAATTATTCTTTAAAATCCTTCTTCGTTTGTAAGAATAAAAAAAAATTGGTCCATAATTGGTGTGGAGCATCCTTGGATAGAGGGGAACCAATTTTGTATAAACCGTGGGTCTGGCCCCTCTGGGGGCTGAGGGGTTGGGCCCAATAGGGGAAATATAGCAAATTCTTTAAAATCATTCTAATTCTGTAGGAATGAAAGGATTTGTTCCATATTTGGCATGAAGCATCCTTGGGTAAAGGGGAACCTATTTTGTATAAACCGTGGGTCTACCCCCCCC